CCTTCTTCGAGCATCGAAAAGTGCATCAGTACACCTGGTACCGGGAAGCTTGTGCACAGAAATCGATGATTGATTTGATAATCATATAATCTGACTTACGACGCTCTGTAATGGATGGCGTTAAGAGAGGAGCAGAGCTGTCAGCTGATCATCACCTTGTTGTTGGCACGTTACGCAGTTAATGTTAAAATTATTCTGGGCAAACATTGCTTATATGTCTGATATCAGTAATCTAGAGCAAGCGAAGCTGAGAAGTGTACCACACCCAAACTAATGTCGAAAAATCATGCTTTGACAGCTAGAAGTTTGGAAAGCGTTCGCTAAACTTAAACGAAAAGTTTTCGAAACCATTGGCCAGGACTTCGAAGAAAAGTGAAGAATATATTCTGCTCCTGATCACAATCATTCGCGGGTGTTTTAAAGACATTCTGTATTAGATATGACCATGAAATCGTTATGTTAAAGATATGTAGTATGAACCACCGTGAGAACAAATTTACTACACTGAAATGGAAACTGACCAAACTGACTAGCGAACAGCCGGAAATATAGAAGAAAAAGAGAAACCAGTCCTGGTGCGTAGTTGGGGCAAGTTTACAAAAGACATGCACAATCAGCTGTTTTCACGATTAACTGGTCGGGTTTTGTTTGATCAGCAATGACCTGGTATAGATCATCGAACACAGTAGCAACAAACATAAAATATAATGAAATTTCCTAGGCTATCGCATCCCCATACCAGCAAAATTAGACTATCCCCAAATTTAGAGACCGACTACAAACTTTCCATAAATAAAAATTAATGCATTCTGCATTTTAGTTAATTGCTTCGGACGAGTGTCACGTGTAGTCGAACTACGGAACATTAAGATGGGCACAATTCTTTCAATCTGTTTCAATAAGTTTACACAGATACATTTCAAAGAATGCATTTGGTCTGGTCCAGAAAATTTCTCGCCACTAATTCTTCAGGTGAAGTAGTAAAGCGGGTCAGAAATTAATAACTAAGGATTTCACACGCACACGCACACACACACGCACACACATCAATTTAGAAAGGAGATAAATGCCTTCGGTGGTTCATTTAGGCACCAAGAACGGATCGCGTAGGAACTGGGACGTCGATTTCACTTAAACAGGATTTATTCAATCGTTCATTTGTCGAATATCATTTTCCTCTCTGCTCGACACCTGTTGCAGTATAGCAGTCGCAGGAAGCTTCTAAACGTTAAATTTTGGATTGTGCGGTTCGCTTCATTTATGTATTTTAAAGATTTACAGCAGAAGAAATTTCATCGCAAAACACTTATATGCTCGGGAAATATTCCATCATAAAACGAAAATATAGTGGCTCAAATAATGCTTCAAAAAAATGATTGGCAAGCAACATATATTTTAAGGTGATGAAACTGGAGCTGATGGAAAATCATTTCAGTCAATTCAGCAAGGCAGCAATAAGTGGTTGCCAGTAACCTTTAAATGAAGTGAAATAAGTTTCTTAAGTAACAGAAAACTAGTTTCTTGTAATATCATTATCAATACATGCCAAGGTTATTAGAACTCTCAACTTATTTTAATGCAAATGGCTTTGCGTGCGTACGCTTTGTGAGAGTTTTAATACAGAATTTCTTTTAGTGTTTAAGTGTAGTTATTAAAAGCAAAAAATTCAGATAAAGCGAATTTAGTATACACAGTACAATGACAGTTTACATACAGAAAACACTCACCGAATTGGCAGCACAGAACCGCCATGCCAGCCGCCGCCCTCGGAAAATGATACTGAAGAAAACGGTAAGCCAGCGTTAGCTGATGTTAGCCCGATCAAAACAGCCGAAAAGCAAGCACTTCCGGGTAAACGATTCCGACATACAAGCAGCAGATGAAGAAGGCAAACGGCTCTCAGCTTCTGATATCTCAGAGTTTACCGCAACGACGTCGACGTTTGAAACGTCACGGCCACTTGTGTTGCACCTTCACCTATGAAACAGAAATAAAGACATCTTGAAAAGAGCAAAGAACGCAAAAACACGCTTCAAGTTTTGAACACAAAGCGAGAAATGTATTATGCAGCAGAAAGATACTTTAAAAGTGACTTCTATTTATAATACTTCATCTTGGAAACAACATCCGATCAAGATTCGAGTATAGCGCCATTTCTCTCGGGCCTATCCTCCTTTTCTCGAATCAGTGGGTCCAGAGAGAATATTCACTTTTGTTTTTGCACTACGCAACAAGGAAATACTCAAAAAATATACCAACACACCTCAAAGTCAATTATCTGCCACCATGACCGCAGCTGGACGTCCAATAGCTTAGGACTGACTCAAAAAGCATCTATCAAGCAAATGGCAAAAATAATGGTGTTAATTTGTGTCAGTTAATTAATGTCAGAGTTAATTGAATGCATGGTTGGCTAAGAAATGTTAGAAACATCGAACATCTGTTTTAAAGACAGAAAACGAGTCATGTCGTCGAGAGCGAAAGTAGCTGCAAATATTTTGAAAAAAGAGCACTTTCTATTCTCAGTAACCATATAGAAGTATACTTTTCAGCCACGTATCTTTCACTGCGATCCGCGAAATTTAACTCACAAGCCTCTCTAATGCTGACTTAGTAGTATATGCGTTCTCCAAGAACGCAGCGGCATACACCACGTACAAACAAATCTGATGTGCACACACAACAAAACCAAACACGCCAACGCAGCTACCGGACGGTTACACTTGTAACCTCAAAACCAGTTATACACTGCACTTTCGAAACCGATATAAGATACACGAGCATTGCTGGGACTGCATCATCATTCAAACGAAAAGTAGATTTTCGCTGAATTATTTGATACCCTCAGTGTAGCATCCAAATTAACCCAATAAAATTTCACGAAACTCGGCCTACGCGATGTGCCGTCCAACAAAGCTATGGCACCATTCTGGTCTGCGTGGCTTGTAATGCAGCGATCGTCATCAGGCGCGCTTAGTTGGAAACAATGGACGTGGACGTGCTGGACAGAGTAGGCGAATGGAGTGGATTACCTCAATAGTAGTATATTCTCATCGTGATGTTGAAGATTTGTAGGTAGATATTAATGGTTCATTCATTCATTTGTAACATTTCATTCAGTCGGCTGGGCATCGTTATTTTTGGAAGTCACTGTCATTATTTGGCATGATACGTCTGTCTTCTTTCCAACAAAATGACGAAGTGCGCTGTATGGCATTAAGTGGGTGGGGTGGATTCTAATAGCTGCAGTAAGTTTGCATTGCAATATATTCATGCTCTGTAAATTCATTCAGCAAAGTCAAACTTAAAGGCCAAAGCGGATGCAGCAAGGGCACAACAACAAACACACATACGTGAGCATGGATTTGTGTTTGACAGGTGCTTTGAACGGCCACTGGTAGCAAGTGTATGAGTATATGAGCGTAAGAAGTTAAAATGCAAATAACATTCTTTTTCCGGCGATTTTACTACTAGATACATATCAAAACTGAAGTGAAGAATGATTAAATATTATATACGCGCCGATTGATGTTATGCAATCTAACAGTTGTTTTTTCAAAAGTGACCATCAAACTCAAAAAACACTTTACTCAAAATGTATCGCTGATAAACATTTGAAAAAATGATTTAACACGTTACATTAAAGCCGATTTTATACGCAAACAGTACATACTCAAAGGAGTAATGCTGAGGATGTTACAACAATGACAATACATGCTTTTTTGACTCGCAATGGAAGCAGCAATCAGATCTCGGTGACAAAGATGGCGAATCAGGGTAACTCGTTTACTCCCGACCAAGCAACTGCGCTTATCAACGCCATACGAACGTACATGCCATACTGAGCTTGACGAAAATAGGCAGCTCTCGGATCAGAGTCGAATTCAAGGCTAAAAATTATAAACCTTTGCATTAACGATCGGTTCAAGAACCAAGATGTTAGTCATATCTAGTTAATTTAACATGATTCATCGAAATACGTTTTTACAACCCCAAAGGTATCCAACAACAGTTTCTTTCACAAAGTAGAAAAAATTTCGAAAGAGGTTATTTAAAAGCGTAACCTAACAGGAATGAATATTATCTGACTG